TTGAAGAAATGTAGAAGGTAAGGTTTTCTAATGAGGGTTTACTGGAGTCGCCGCTACCCTCCTCTTCTGGAGTGGATTCATTGAGCGAATCTACAATGGTGGTAGCAAGTGACTGAGGGTCGACAGGAGCAGTGGAGAGGTGTAATGGTTGTGTAACAGCAGGCTGGGAGAGGTGGGAGACGGTGGTTGAGGCAGCATGATCAACGTTGTCAGCGGTGGAAGTGGTTATAGAAGTTACAGGAGCAGTTGCTTGGGCAGGAGACAGGTCTGCAGGTGCATTAAAGTTCAGGGCGTTGGGAAGGATCTTGAGGATGTCTGCTGAAGGTGTGGAGTCCGAAAAATTGAAGGCAGGCATGTTGTTCAGACGGAATAGTTCGTTAATAGTGGTGTTGAAAGTGCTGGGGTTTGCTGCGTTTGCAAGGTGTGCATACACCATGCAGTACAGCACCTTGGAGGGAGCACCGTCGGGGAGTGGAGAGTGGGAGTTGCTGGGCGATGGTACCTGTAGATTAGCGTGTAGAGTCTTGGTGTCAGTTTGTGGTTTGGTTATTGCAGCGTATATCGGTGAATTGGAAGTGTTCTTCAGAACTTTAGTTTTCTTCAATATGATTTCTTTTCTGAGTGGGCACTTAGCTGCAAGGATATGATGATTACCCTTGCAGTTAAGACATGTTGGTGCTGTAGTAATGGTGCAGGATCTGAAATTTATTTATTTATTTATTTATTTAATTTGAACATGATACAGAGAAGTACAAGGAATACAATTTTTAAAGTGCAGCATGCCAAAGCCCCTTGTATGCAGAGCATTATGGGCAGGCTTAAAATTAACTTAAGATTAACTAAGCAATGATATATTCAGTGGTACAAAAATCATTGTAAAACAGATAACAATTTAGTACAATTGAGTATTACAAAGACAGGTCATATGGTCATTTACTGTGTTGCTGTGTAATCAGTAGAATGGAGTATTCTGTTAGGTAATGAAATTAAATAGTAACAAAGTTTGATTGGGTCACAGGTTGACTTTTATGAGATCGTGTCCATTATTCCCACATATTGAACAAAACTTCTTATCCCTGATGGGGCAGTCCTTGGTGGTGTGTTTATAGGAGTAGCAGGTCCAGCAGTGGGAGATGTATGTGAAACGTTCTTGTTCTATATGACTTGGGTGAATGTGGTAATATGAGATGGCCAGACCGCCAGAGAGAGCTTGGGCAGCCATGGAGATGTCTGAGAATGTAATCTTTAGCATAGATGAGGCGTTAGGGATCTTGGAGATGCTGTCTACCGAGGCCCAGGTGTTTTGTTCCTCAATAGATATCTTCAGTGCTTCAGTAGAGAGAGAGGTGACCATATTGTCCAGTCTTTTCACAAAGACCGAACGTTTCGACTTCAAGAATGGAGACGGGGATAGAGTGAATTTCTGTTTGTAGGGTCCTGATTGAAGAGTCGTCCATTAGTTCTGATGCTTCCGTGTCGTCTGTGCAGACGACAATGAAGGAGTCCTCCAGAGAGTGGATTGCCGTAAATTTGACCTGCAGGCAGGTTCTAACGGTGGTAGCTAAAGCTAGCTTCGAGGAGTCATTTATTGCACCATTCACAGGCTTGATTTTCACACGATGCGACAACATTGCGAAAAGGATGTGACGTTTGTAGAATATAAACTCCCCACCCCGGCGGGGTCGAAGGGAGGCTTCTTGAGCATAAAGCAACAGTGTGATCGGACAGAGCACGACGGACCAGGAGTAAGAAACTTCAGGCAATCGGTATAGGTTCTGTAGACTGGTTTAAGTCCTACCTTAGCAACAGGAGACAAATTGTCAAAATCAACAAAACGGAATCAGAACCCCTGCCGATAGCATGTGGAGTTCCCCAAGGTAGTATTCTGGGTCCCTTATTATTCCTATGCTATGTTAACGACATGCCTATCAGCGTCAAGTGCAAACTCCTACTGTATGCAGATGTCAGTGCTCTGTTAGTGTCAGGTAAAGACCCACAAGATATAGCTAATGTATTAACACTGGAACTGGAGTCCTGCAGCAAATGGTTAACAGACAACAAACTATCATTACACCTCGGGAAAACTGAAGCCATTCTCTTTGGCATGAAACAAACTGAGAAGGATAAATAATTTTAATGTCCAGTGTAATGGGGTGCCCATCACTTCAGTTTCCTCAGTAAAATATCTGGGAATCCCCTTTGACCCATGCATGTCAGGAGAATTGATAGGGAACAGTGTAGTAAAGAAAGCGAATGCCAGACTGAAGTTCCTCTATAGACAAGCACAGTGTCTACCTACTGAGGCTCGCAGGACCCTATGTCTAGCCCTTATACAGTGTCATATGGACTACGCTTGCTCTTCATGGTACTCTGCCTTGACAAAAAAAACAACAACTGAAAGATAGACTGCAAATCACCCAGAACAAAATAGTAAGATTCATCCTGGACCTGGGTCCAAGAGAGCATGTAGGCCAGAATGAATTACAACAATTGGATATGATGAATGTTGAAGACAGAGTAAATCAACTGAAGCTAAATCATGTTTATAAAATTGCTCACAAACAGTGTCCAGAATATCTTGCTGTCAATTTTGTCAAGGTTGGGAACCAAAGCAATCATAGTACAAGGGGGAGAGAGCACAACTTTGTAGTACCCACAGTCGAAATATAAACACAAATGCAGTATAATGTGATCCTTTATTGACAACGTTTCACCCACACAGTGGGCTTTTTCAAGTCACACACGGATCTACCTGGGGTTGGAAGGTACGAGTATTTATAGTCATGTTCAGAATGTTGAGGTCAGGTGGAGAATGCTGCATCTGATGATCTACCGGGTGGGGTTATAGAGTCTTGGGTAGCTTGGCAGGGGTATTGGACAAGTTGTAGACCTTCTGCAGTGTTCTATGTTCTTATGTGGGATAGCGATGAAGAAGTTTCTTGGCGAGTGATTAGCTATGTTATAGAAGCCATTGTTCTGGTTGAAATTGTTGGTTATAGAGATAAGCGATGATTCCAGGATTCTTCTGTATTGAGTGTTGTCTTCTGTAGCTATAATTCTTGAGTTTCTGTAGTTAATTAAATGGTTGTGTGAATTGCGATGTTGTACACAGGCATTCCTTGTATCGTCAGTCCTGCTTGCATATTGGTGTTCTGAAATGCGTGTTTGGAGGTCTCTTGATGTTTCGCCCACATATAATTTGTTGCAGTCATTACAAGGGATTATGTATACCCCTGCAGAGGATGGAGGCTTGTCCTGTCTACTACTGGTGATGTCCTTGATGGTCGTGGTTGTGGAGGTAGATACTTGGAATGATGTTTTGGCAAAGATGTTGGAAACATGTTTGGCAATGGAGTTATTGGGGAGGACTATGTATCTCTTCTCGGCAGTGTCTTCTCTGGGTGTGTTAAAGATGTTTAATGCCCGCCGTCTGCAGTCTCTGATGAAGTGACGAGGATAGTGGAGTTTAGAAAATACTTGTTCAATTATAGTGCATTCTTCCTCAAGGAACTCATTGCTGCAGATTCTGTGTGTGACTTGAAAAAGCCCACTGTGTGGGTGAAACGTTGTCAATAAAGGATCACATTATACTGCATTTGTGTTTATATTTCCATTGTGTCGGTATTTTATACCATTTATTTCCAGTACCCACAGTCATTGGCCAGGCTTCAAACACCTTTTATTGTACAGCAATAAAGGAATGGAACAGACTGCCCGCACATGTCAAAGCCAGTCATAGCATGAACCAGTTCAAGAAGAGTGCCAAAAGGTGTCTGATGAATGTTGCTACAGAAAAGGAGGGGAATTATTTTTTATTTTTTTAGCTAACACACGTGTAATTTTACCTTATTACTAGTAATGACCCTCGTATTGTAGATAGTCTTAATGACCCTCGTGTAGTAGATAGTCTTTTTAGTATGATAATAAGATGTTATCTTCATTATAGAATATTAGTAAGATATTATAACCTTTATATTATAATAATAAGGTAAAAGAACCCCAATAGAAATAAGTCACTCTGACTTTTTTGGGTTATCCCAGGTTCTCTACACATATGCTGCTATGTATGATAATCTATGTAACTATATTTGTGTATACCTGAATAAACTTACTTAACTGAGGTTGAGGAGGCAGTGTACTTGGACCAACCTCGTCACCTTCCCTCACTGTCTCCTTTTCTCCTTCCTTTCTCTCTGTCTCTTCTCTCTTGCTCTAATTATTTTTGTAGTAAGTTCTTTATTGAATAAAAATAACCTTTCTTTTGGTATGTTTAAATATATGTTAGATCGTATTTTGAATAAGAAATGGCTGATTATCTTCAGAGGAGGTCATATCTTTAAGTGTATTGATTATATTATTTTAAATATTATAATCAATATTCTTATCTCTCCCGGTTCATGGGGAGAGATGGAGGGACGAGGGAGGTAGAATCTCCATGTGGGACATGGTGGGAGGTGTCCCTCTACTGACAGCGTCTTCACTAACCTATCACTTTCCCTGCTCTAACCTTTGTTAGGTCACCACCTTTACCCTGCTGTAACCTTTGTTAGGTCACTACATATACCATGCTCTTACCTTTGTTCCCCTCAAGGAAGGTTCCTTGATGTTGGTGAGGGGCTCTTGATTTAGGGAATTGGATCTGTGCTCCAGTTCCCTGAATTAAGCCTGAATGCCTTCCACATCCCCCCCCCCAGGCGCTGTATAATCCTCCGGGTTTAGCGCTTCCCCCTTGATTATAATAATAATCTTACCTTTGTTAGGTCACCACCTTTTGTGTCTACTCACAGGCTGAGTGACGCTGCCTAATAAACTTGCCCCCTGGTAGCATTATTTAGTATGAAAAGTGATATGGTGATACCGATAAGATGTAGAAAAAGACCCTTATGTATAAGTACAGTTCAGGACCTTTATTAGAGGACACATTTCCTCAAAAAAATGCCTTGAAATGTAAATGTCTTTTCCCACATTATTTAACGTCTTACATCTTGACTGTTGTGCAGGTGGTTCGTCTGCTGGACGTGTTCGCCGAGGGAGCCGGCTTCGTTCTGGCCTTCGAACTGATGTTGGGTGACCTGGGCGAGATGATTCGGGACGCCACACGACCTCTGACGCCGGCCCAGGTCAAGACATACATGACGACGCTGCTCTCAGGCGTCGCCTTCCTACACCAACACAACATTATGCATAGGGTTGGTCCAACATGGCATTCCATGGGGTTTATCCAACGTGGTAGTCCATGGGGTCTGTCCAACATGGCAGTCCATGGGGTCTGTCCAATATGGCAGTCCATGGGGTCTGTCCAACATGGTAGCCCATGGGGTGGGTCCAACATAGCAGTCCGTAGGGTCGGTCCAACATGGCAGTCCATGGGGTGGGTCCAGCATAGTAGTCCGTAGGGTCAGTTCAACATGGTAGTCCATGGGGTGGGTCCAGCATAGCAGTCCGTAGGGTCGGTCCAACATGGCAGTTTATGGGGTCGGTCCAATATGGCAGTCCATGGGGTGGGTCCAACATAGCAGTCCGTAGGGTTGGTCAAACATGGCAGTCCATGGGGTGGGTCCAACATAGCAGTCCGTAGGGTCGGTCCAACATGGCAGTCCATGGGGTCGGTCCAACATAACAGTCCGTAGGGTCGGTCCAACATGGCAGTCCATGGGGTCGGTCCAACATAGCAGTCCGTAGGGTCGGTCCAGCATGGCAGTCCATGGGGTCGGTCCAGCATAGCAGTCCGTATGGTCGGTCCATCATAGCAGTCCATGGGGTCGGTCCAACATAGTCCGTAGGGTCGGTCCAACATGGCAGTCCATGGGGTCGGTCCAACATAGCAGTCAGTAGGGTCGGTCCAACATGGCAGTCCATGGGGTCGGTCCAACATAGCAGTCAGTAGGGTCGGTCCAACATGGCAGTCCATGGGGTCGGTCCAACATAGCAGTCAGTAGGGTCGGTCCAACATGGCAGTCCATGGGGTCGGTCCAGCATAGCAGTCCGTAGGGTCGGTCCAACATGGCAGTCCATGTGGTCGGTACAACATAGCAGTCCGTAGGGTCTGTCCAACATGGCAGTCCGTAGGGTCGGTCCAACATGGCAGTCCGTAGGGTCGGTCCAACATGGCAGTCCATGGGGTCGGTCCAACATAGCAGTCCGTAGGGTCGGTCCAACATGGCAATCCGTGGTGTTGGTCCAACATGGGCATGATTAGGGTCGGTCGTTTAGATTTTTTTTTTTTTTTTTTTTTAGATTTTGCCACCGAAGTGGCTAGTTTATTGTGCACCCCACATCCATCCTGTGGACGGTAGCGCAAGAGCATATGGATACACAAAAGGCCCAGGAACTAGGCCCCAAAGGGTTAACAGGACTACATATGGATTTATATCTACATATCTATAGTTCACTTATCTGTTACAAGCAAATTTAGGAAATTTGCTTAGTATATCTGGTATCTTATTTTCATTAATAAGATATCTTGACATGTCACATAGGTTATTATACTGTCTATCTCTGTATTCCTCAATAAGTGGACAATTAAGCACATAGTGTTCAAGACAGTGACCATATGCCTGATCACATAATTTACATTTAGTTTGATCATCATCTGTGTGTCTCCCAAACTGCCAGAAGTACGTACTTGTAAATAACAAAAAAGGCACAATACCGTGACTGGAACGATACACAAATAACCCGCACATAGAAGAGAGGAGCTTACGACGACGTTTCGGTACTTGTAACCAAGCCTAAGCCTGGCCATTACAACATTAGTCAGTCTGTTCACACTGCATGTTGCTCCATAAACATACTTATCTACGTTCATGTTACCATAGTGGGTTATAGATCTACTCAGGCTTTTAACTGCATTCCCATAACAATCATTTTCTCTCCTAATATTATTCCTAATGCTAGACACAGATACACCAAAGTTATATTCTACATTCTCCTTGTGGGTACTCTTCTTGGCTAACATATCAACTTTATCATGAAGACTATCGGTCGTTTCCGCTACAATTTTCTGCCTAAAAATTTCCTTCATTATTACCAAACACGATACAAAATAAAATTAATTTTTTGGGTTTTCGGTAAAATTTAAAAAGGTTTTGTTTAAACGTAAAACCTTTAAAAAATTTAAAAAAATAATAATTGTTGGGCATTAAAAAAAAAGGGTTTAAGTATTCGTTTGGTACCAAAATATAAAACCTAATTTACATACTAAGTGTCAAGAAAAACGGGTCTCCCCCGGGTTACCAAGCATAAACCTATCTCCCCCCCCTTCCCCTTGTTCACCTAGCAGTAAATGAACCCCCCCGTCCCCTTGTTCACCTAGCAGTAAACTGATACTCCCCCCGCTGCCCTTGTTCACCTAGCAGTAAACTGATACCCCCCCGCTGCCCTTGTTCACCAAAGCAGTAAACTGATACTCCCCCGCTGCCCTTGTTCACCTAGCAGAAAAATGATACTCCCCCGCTGCCCTGTTCACCTAGCAGTAAACTGATACCCCCCCGCTGCCCTTTGTTCACCTAGCAGTAAAACTGATACTCCCCTGCTCCCCTTGTTCACCTAGCATAAACTGATACTCCCCCGCTGCCCTTGTTCCCCTTTAGCAGTAAACTGATACTCCCCCCGCTGCCCTTGTTCACCTAGCAGTAAACTGATACTCCCCCCGCTGCCCTTGTTCACCTAGCAGTAAACTGATACTCCCCCCCCCTGCCCTTGTTACCTAGCAGTAAACTGATACTCCCCCCTCCCCTTGTTCACCTAGAAAGTAACTGATACCCCCCCCGCTCTTGTTAACCTAGCAGTAAACTGATACTCCCCCCCTGCCTTGTTCACCTAGCAGAAAAACTGATCTCCCCCCTGCCTGTTTCACCTAGCAGTAAACTGATACTCCCCCGCTGCCCTTTCACCTAGCAGTAAACTGATACTCCCCGCTGCCCTTGTTCACCTAGCAGTAAACTGATACTCCCCCGCTGCCCATGTTCACCTAGCAGTAAACTGATACTCCCCCTGCTGCCCTTGTTCACCTAGCAGTAAACTGATACTCCCCCCGCTGCCCGTTCACCTAGCAGTAAACTGATACTCCCCCGCTGCCCTTGTTCACTAGCAGTAAACTGATACCCCCCCTTGCCCATTGTTCACCTAGCAGTAAACTGATACTCCCCCCTCCCCTTGTTCACCTAGCAGAAAACTGATACTCCCCCAATGCCCTTGTTCACCTAGCAGTAAACTGATACTCCCCCCTGCCCATGTTCACCTAGCATAAACTGATACCCCCCGCTGCCCTTGTTCACCTAGCAGTAAACTTTTACTCCCCCCGCTGCCCTTGTTCACCTAGCAAAAAACTGATACCCCCCCGCTGCCCTTGTTCCCCTAGCAGTAAACTGATACTCCCCCCGCTGCCCTTGTTAAACTACAGTAAACTGATACTCCCCCCTGCCCTTGTTTCACCTAGCAGTAAACTGATACTCCCCCCGCCCTTGTTCACCTAGCAGTAAATGATACTCCCCCTGCCCTTGTTCACCTAGCAGAAAAACTGATACTCCCCCCAGCCCTTGTTCACCTAGCAGTAAACTGATACTCCCCCGCTGCCCTTGTTCACCTAGCAGTAAACTGATACTCCCCCCGCTGCCCTTGTTCACCTAGCAGTAAACTGATACTCCCCCCCTCCCCTTGTTCACCTAGAAATAAACTGTTTACTCCCCCGCTGCCCTTGTTCCCTAGCAGTAAACGATACTCCCCCCTGCCCTTTTTTCACCTAGCAGTAAACTGATACCCCCCCCCGGCTGCCCTTGTTACCTAGCAGTAAATGATACTCCCCCTGGCCCTTGTTCACCTAGCAGTAAACTGATACTCCCCCTGCCCTTGTTCACCTAGCATAAACTGATCTCCCCCAAACTGCCCTTTCCCCTTTAGCGTAAACTGATACCCCCCTTGCCATTTCACTAGCAGTAAACTGATCCCCCCCGCTGCCCTTGTTCACCTAGCATTAAACTGATACTCCCCCCCTTGCCCTTGTTCACCTAGCAGAAAAACGGGATACTCCCCTTGCCCTTTCACCTAGCAGTAACTGATACTCCCCCGCTGCCATTTTTCACCTAGCAGTAAACTGATACTCCCCCACTGCCCTTGTTCACCTAGCAGTAAACTGATACTCCCCCTGCCCTTCTTCACCTAGCAGTAAACTGATACTCCCCCGCTGCCCATGTTCCCCTAGCAGTAAATGATACCCCCCCCACTGCCCAAGTTCACCTAGCAGTAAACTGCTACCCCCACTGCCCAAGTTCACCTAGCAGTAAACTGATACCCCCCCGCTGCCCATGTTCACCTAGCAGTAAACTGATACTCCCCCCACTGCCCAAGTTCACCTAGCAGTAAACTGATACTCCCCGACTGCCCATGTTCACCTAGCAGTAAACTGATACTCCCCCCGCTGCCCTTGTTCACCTAGCAGTAAACTGATACTCCCCCCACTGCCCAAGTTCACCTAGCAGTAAACTGATACCCCCCCCTGCCCATGTTCACCTAGCAGTAAATGATCTACTCCCCCCGTGCCCTTGTTCTCCTAGCAGTAAACTGATACTCCCCCCACTGCCCAAGTTCACCTAGCAGTAAACTGATACTCCCCCCATTTGCCCATGTTCACCTAGCAGTAAACTGATATCCCCCGCTGCCCTGTTCCCCTAGCAGTAAACTGATACTCCCCCGTTGTCCATGTTCACCTAGCAGTAAACTGATACTCCCCTGCTGCCCATGTTCACCTAGCAGTAAACTGATACTCTCCCCATTGCCCATGTTCACCTAGCAGTAAACTGATACTCCCCCGCTGCCCTTGTTCACCTAGCAGTAAACTGATACTCTCCCCACTGCCCATGTTCACATAGCAGTAAACTGATACTCCCCCCGACTGCCCATGTTCACCTAGCAGTAAACTGATACTCCCCCCACCTGCCATGTTCACCTACCCAGTAAACTGATACTCCCCCCGGCTTGCCCCCATATTCACCTAGCAGTAAACTGATACTCCCCCGCTGCCCATGTCCACCTAGCAGTAAACTGATACTCTCCCCACTGTCCATGTTCACCTATCAGTAAATTGATACTCCACCACTGCCCATGTTCACCTAGCAGTAAACTGATACTCCTCCACTGCCCAAGTTCACCTAGCAGCAAACTGATACTCCCCCCGCTGCCCTTTTTTCCCCTTTGCAGTAAACTGATACTCCCCCCACTGCTCATGTTCACCTAGCAGTAAACTGATACTCCCCCCCAAATGCCCATGTTCACCTAGCAGTAAACTGATACTCCCCCACTCCCCATGTTCACTAGCAGAAAGACTGATTCCCCCCCGCTGCCCATGTTCACCTAGCAGTAAACTGATACTCCCCCCACTGCCCATGTTCACCTAGCAGTAAACTGATACTCCCCTGCTGCCCATGTTCACCTAGCAGTAAACTGATACTCCCCCCACTGCCCATGTTCACCTAGCAGTAAACTGATACTCCCCCCACTGCCCATGTTCACCTAGCAGTAAACTGATACTCCCCCACCGCCCATGTTCACCTAGCAGTAAACTGATACTCCCCCCCAAATGCCCATGTTCCCCTAGCAGAAAAACTGATTCCCCCACTGCCCATGTTCCCCTAGCAGTAAACTGATATCCCCACTGCCATGTTCACCTAGAAAGTAGACTGATACTTCCCCCGCTGCCCATGTTCACCTAGCAGTAAACTGATACTCCCCCCGCTGCCCATGTTCACCTAGCAGTAAACTGATACTCCCCCACTGCCCATGTTCACCTAGCAGTAAACTGATACTCCCCCCGCTGCCCATGTTCACCTAGCAGTAAACTGATACTCCCCCGCTGCCCTTGTTCACCTAGCAGTAAACTGATACTCCCCCACTGCCCATGTTCACCTAGCAGTAAACTGATACTCCCCCGCTGCCCATGTTCACCTAGCAGTAAACTGATACTCCCCGCTGCCTTGTTCACCTAGCAGTAACTGATACTCCCCCCACACCCCATGTTCACCTGGCAGTAAACTGATACTCCCCCGCTGCCCTAGTTCACCTAGCAGCAAACTGATACTCCCCCCGCTGCCCTTGTTCACCTAGCAGTAAACTGATACTCCCCCACTGCCCATGTTCACCTAGCAGTAAACTGATACTCCCCCCTGCCCATGTTCACCTAGCAGTAAACTGATACTCCCCCGCTGCCCATGTTCACCTAGCAGTAAACTGATACTCTCCCACTGCCCATGTTCCCTAGCAGTAAACTGATACTCCCCCCCGCTGCCCTTGTTCACCTAGCAGAAAAACTGATACTCCCCCCCTGCCCTTGTTCACCTAGCAGTAAACTGATAATTTCCCCCACTGCCCATGTTCACCTAGCAGTAAACTGATACTCCCCCATGCCCTTTGTTCACCTAGCAGTAAATGATACTCCCCCGCTGCCCTTGTTCACCTAGCAGCAACTGATACTCCCCCCGCTGCCCTTGTTCACCTAGCAGTAAAACTGATACTCCCCCACTGCCATGTTCACCTAGCAGAAAAACTGATACTCCCCCGCTGCCCTTGTTCACCTAGCATAAACTGATACTCCCCCCACTCCCATGTTACCTAGCAGTAATTTGATACTCCCCCGCTGCCATGTTCACCTAGCAGTAAACTGATACTCCCCCACGCCCATGTCACCTAGCAGTAAACCATGCTCCCCCCACTGCCCTTGTTCACCTAGCAGTAAACTGATACTCGCCCCTCTGCCCCTTTGTTTTCACCAAGCAGTAAACTGATACTCCCCCCACTGCCCTTGTTCCCTAGCAGTAAACGGGATACTCCCCCGCTGCCCTTGTTCACCTAGCAGAAAACTGATACTCCCCCCATGCCCATGTTCACCTAGCAGAAAACTGATAGTCCCCCCTGCCCATTTTTCACCTAGCAGTAACTGATATTTCCCCCCGCTGCTCATGTTCACCTAGCAGTAAACGATACTCCCCACTGCCCATGTTCCCCTAGCAGTAAACTTGATACTCCCCCCCTGCCCTTGTTCACCTAGCAGTAAACTGATACTCCCCCCGCTGCCCATGTTCACCTAGCATAAACGATACTCCCCCACTCCCCATGTTAAACTAGCAGTAAACTGAACTCCCCCCTGCCCATGTTCACCTAGCAGTAAACTGATACCCCCCACTGCCCTTGTTCACCTACCCATAAACTGTTTACTCCCCCCACGGGCCCTTGTTCACCTAGCAGAAAACGGGATACTCCCCCACTGCCCTTGTTCACCTAGCAGTAAACTGATACTCCCCCACTGCCCTTGTTCACCTAGCAGTAAACTGATACTCTCCCACTGCCCTTCTTCACCTAGCAGTAAACTGATACTCCCCCCACTGCCCTTGTTCCCTAGCAGTAAACTGATACCCCCCCACTGCCCATGTTCCCCTAGCAGTAAATGATACTCCCCCACGCCCTTTTTAACCTAGCATAAACGATACTCCCAACCTGCCCAGTCACCTACAGTAAACTGATACTCCCCCACTGCCATGTCACCTAGCATAAACTGATACTCCTCCACTGCCCATTTTACCTAGCAGTAAACTGAATCCCCCCACTGCCCATGTTCACCTAGCAGTAAACTGATACTCCCCTGCGCCTGTTCACCTAGCAGTAAATGATACTCCCCCGCTGCCATGTCACCAGCATAAACTGATACCCCCACTGCCCATGTTCACCTAGCAGTAAACTGATACTCCCCCACTGCCATGTTCACTAGCAGTAAACTGATACTCCCCCCGCTGCCCCATGTTCCCCTAGCAGTAAACTGATACTCCCCCGCTGCCCATGTTCACCTAGCAGCAAACTGATACTCCCCCCACTGCCCATGTTCACCTAGCAGTAAACTGATACTCCCCCCACTCCCCATGTTCACGCAGAGTAAACTGAAAACTCCCCTCCTGCCCATGTTCACGTAGCAGTAAACTGATATTCACCCCGCTGCCCATGTTCACCTAGCAGTAAACTGATACTCCCCACTGCCCATGTTCACCTAGCAGTAAACTGATACTCCCCCACTGCCCATGTTCACCTAGCAGTAAACTGATACTCCCCCCCCTGCCCAAGTTCACCTAGCGGTAAACTGATACTCCCCCCGCTGCCCATGTTCACCTAGCAGTAAACTGATACTCCCCCACTGCCCATGTTCACCTAGCAGTAAACTGATACTCCTCCACTGCCCATGTTCACCTAGCAGTAAACTAATACTCTCCCACTGCCCTTGTTCACCTAGCAGTAAACTGATACTCCCCCACTGCCCATGTTCACCTAGCAGTAAACTGATACTCCCCCACTGCCCATGTTCACCTAGCAGTAAACTGATACTCCCCCCACTGCCCATGTTCACCTAGCAGTAAACTGATACTCCCCCACTGCCCATGTTCACCTAGCAGTAAACTGATACTCCCCCACTGCCCATGTTCACCTAGCAGTAAACTGATACTCCCCCACTGCCCATGTTCACCTAGCAGTAAACTCGTGTGCCTGAAGGTTAACTCACTGCTGTGGGTGATATCCAAGAAAAATGAAATACAAATGAGTTAGAAACACCAAGAGTGTAAAGTCTGCCTCAAGTTATATCCAGGGCACCATTAACATGGTGCCCTGGATAATGGTTCTTCGATGCTGGTGAAGGGCTCTTGATCCAAGGAACTAACAATATCCTCCCCTTCCTGGGATCAAATGTTACATCTTAATCTTCAGGTGCTATATGGCCTTTTGGTTTCCATATGAAAATAATAACAGTAGAGAACAATTTAAATATTTTAATACATAATTTTTGAGGGAAGAGGTTGTATTAGCGCCACATATAACATACATAATGTATATGTATCAGACTTTACTGTAATTTCTAATTATGTATTAGTCTTGATAATGTGTGGGTGAAGCGCAGCGGTAATGACCCATAGTAATATCCCGTAGCTGGGTTGGTAGTTTAGTTAGTTTAATATGTTTATTATGCACCCCATACCCATCCAGTGGGCGGTAGTCAAAAGATTACAGAGGTACATAATGGGTCCAGGGACTGGGCCTCAAAGTTTTGATAGCTGAGCAAGTTACAGAGGTAATGAATTCACAATTTACAAATGTAATGAACTCACAATTTACAAAGGTAATGAACTCCAGGTAGGTCTAGTCACAATCATGACAAGTTACAAAGGTATTTACAGATTACAGAGGTACACAATGGGTCCAGGGACCGGGGGTTTCCAGAGTTTTGAGGGCTGAACTAGGTACAAGGTAAGAACTCACATTACAAAGGTAATGACCACAGTTACAAAGGTAATGAATACTGTAAGAATGGTTACTTATGTGTATACATGGCTGCAATCATGAACAAATTTTAGAGTAATGAGCAATTCACACTTCCACACCCGGTCACAACTGTAGTGATTTTATTGAGTCAAAATGTTGATTGCGAGTCTCTCTCTCACACACCACACACACACACACAATACAAATTCATACACACAACATAATCAACACACACACACACACACCACACACACACACACACACACACACACACAACAAAACACACACACACACATACAAATTCATACACACACACACATAATCACACACAAAACACACACACACACACACACACACACACACACACACACACACACACACACATACACAAACTCATACACACACACGCACACACACTCATAGTGCACTTAGTTCACACATTAAGTGTCCGTGGTTCGATCCTCAGCACAGGTGTAAAGATTGGGCTTATTTTCTTACACCTGCTGTCCCTGTTCACCTAGCAGCAAATAGGTACCTGGGAGTTAGCCGACGAGTGCAGGTGGCATCCTGGGGTACAAGATTAACCTAAATTGCCCGGAATGCTGTGCATTACCAGGGGCTTTCTACAGTGTGCCATTGATGTCAGCTATGGTCTGTATAAGTTGCATCATGTACTTATAGAAATATAGATTATTATTAATTTTTATTATTATTATTATTATTATTATTATTATTATTATTATTATTATCTGTGACTAAAGTCGGACCGAAACGTCGTCAAGAGTTTGTTTCTTTCTCCTGTGTGTGGGTTTTTTATGTATTGTTCCCGTCACGGTATTGTGTCTTTTTATTCTTTCTCGATAGGCTTAACAAATGATTATCTTATTACAGGACCTGAAACCTGCCAACCTGCTCATCAGCGAGACAGGTCAACTGAAGATCGCTGACCTTGGGCTGTGTCGCGTCTTTTCCAAGCAGGGGAAGAGGCTCTACTCCCACCAGGTCAGGAACCTGTGCTTCACTGTATAGTGTGATACCTGTCACTGATCAGTGATGCCAGTGTACCTGTCACTGATCAGTGATGACAGTGTACCTGTCACTGATCAGTGATGGCAGTGTACCTGTCACTGATCAGTGATGACAGTGTACCTGTCACTGATCAGTGATGGCAGTGTACCTGTCACTGATCAGTGATGACAGTGTACCTGTCACTGATCAGTGATGGCAGTGTACCTGTCACTGATCAGTGATGACAGTGTACCTGTCACTGATCAGTGATGGCAGTGTACCTGTCACTGATCAGTGATGACAGTGTACCTGTCACTGATCAGTGATGACAGTGTACCTGTCACTGATCAGTGATGACAGTTGGTTTAGAAAGACACGTTTCGGTCCTGGGACCTTGATCACTTCTAACATACAGAGGTAGAAAGACATTATATATATAGGCGGAGAGTGAGGTGTGACGCACGTGACCTAAGGAATGTCATAAGAACATAAGAATGGAGGAACACTGTAGAAGGCCTACTAGCCCATGCGAGGCAGGTCCTTATCAAAACAACCTCTACCTATGATGAGGACGGGTAGACGATGAAATCATGTGACAGTGTACCTGTGAATAATTAGGTGGTGTACTGTAAGTGTTAAGATGATAGTGTTGGGGAACTTGGGATGGTGTTACTTGTGAGTGATTATTACCTGTAATGTCTGTGATGTAATCAGTGTTTTAAGACACAGAAAGGTAAATCAGTAACCATCAGCAGGGGGCGGGGGGGTGGTAACACACTTTAGATCAGGGGGCGGGTGAGGTGGGGGTAACGTAACTTAGATCAGGGAGCGGGGGAGGTGGGGGTAACGCACCTTAGATCAGGGGGGGGAGGAGGTGGGGTTAACGCACCTTAGATCAGGGGGCGGGGGGGGGTAATGCACCTTTGATCAGGGGGCGGGGGTGGGGGTAACGCACCTTAGATCATGGGGCGGGGGTGGGGTTAACGCACCTTAGAACATGGGGCGGGGGAGGTGGGGGTAACGCACCTTAGAACATGGGGCGGTGGTGGGGGTAACGCACCTTAGAACATGGGGCGGGGGTGGGGGTAACGCACCTTAGAACATGGGGTGGGGGGTGGGGGTAACGCACCTTAGACATGGGGCGGGGTGTTGGGGGTAACGCACCTTAGACATGGGGTGGGGGGTGGTAACGCACCTTAGATCAGGGGGCGGGGTGGTGGGGTAACGCACCTTAGATCATGGGCGGGGGAGGTGGGGGGTAACGCACCTTAGATCATGGGGCGGGGGGTGGGGTAACGCACCTTAGGTCATGATGGGGGGAGGTGGGGGTAACGCACCTTAGATCATGGGGCGGTGGGGGGGGTAACGCACCTTAGATCATGGGATGGGGGAGGTGGAGGTAACGCACCTTAGATCATGGGGCGGGGGGGGGGGGTAACGCACCTTAGATCATGGGAGGGGTGGGTGGGGTTAACGCACCTTAGATCATGGGGGGGGGAGGTGGGGGTAACGCACCTTAGATCATGGGGGGGGGGTGGGGTAACGCACCTTTGATCATGGGTGGGGAGGTGGGGTAACGCACCTTAGATCAGGGGGCGGGGGTAATGATCAGGCGGGGTGGGTAACGCACCTTAGATCATGGGGCGGGAGGTGGGGTAACGCACCTTAGATCATGGGGCGGGGTGGGGGTAACGCACCTTGATCAGGGGCGGGGGGTGGGGTTAACGCACCTTAGAACATGGGGCGGGGGAGGTGGGGTAACGCACCTTAGATCATGGGGCGGGGGGGGGTAACGCACCTTAGAACATGGGGCGGGGGGGGGGGGTAACGCACCTTAGAACATGGGGCGGGGAGGTGGGGGTAACGCACCTTAGAACATGGGGCGGGTGGTGTGGGGTAACGCACCTTAGAACATGGGGGGTGGTGGGTGGTAACGCACCTTAGATCAGGGGGCGGGGGGTGGGGGTAACACACCTTAGATCATGGGGCGGGGGAGGTGGGGGTAACGCACCTTAGTTCGTGGGGCGGGGAAGGTGAGGGTAACGCACCTTAGGTCATGGGGCGGGGGAGGTGGGGGTAACGCACCTTAGATCATGAGGCGGGGGGTGGGGGTAACGCACCTTTGATCATGGGGTGGGGGAGGTGGAGGTAACGCACCTTAGATCATGGGGCGGGGGAGGTGGGGGTAACGCACCTTAGTTCGTGGGGCGGGGAAGGTGAGGGTAACGCACCTTAGGTCATGGGGCGGGGGAGGTGGGGGTAACGCACCTTAGATCATGAGGCGGGGGGTGGGGTAACGCACCTTTGATCATGGGGTGGGGGAGGTGGAGGTAACGCACCTTAGATCATGGGGCGGGGGGCGGGGGTAACGCACCTTAGATCATGGGATGGGGAGGTGCGGGTAACGCACCTTAGATCAGGGGGCGGGGGGAGGTGGGGGTAACGCACCTTAGAGCATGGGGCGGGGGCAGGCGGGGTAACCCACCTTAGATCAGGGGGCGGGGGAGGTGGGGGTAACGCACCTTAGATCAAGGGGCGGGGGAGTTGGGGTGTAACGCACCTTAGATCAGGGGGCGGGGGAGGTGGGGGTAACGCACCTTAGATCAGGGGGCGGGGGAAGTGAGGGTAACGCACCTTAGATCAAGGGGCGGGGGAGGTGGGGGTAACGCACCTTAGATCAGGGGGCGAGGTAGGTGGGGGTAACGCACCTTAGATCAGGGGGCGGGGGAGGTGGGGGTAACGCACCTTAGATCAGGGGGCGGGGGAGGTGGGGGTAACGCACCTTAGATCAGGGGGGGGGAGGTGGGGGTAACGCACCTTAGATCAGGGGGTGGGGGTGGTAACGCACCTTAGATCAGGGGGTGGGGGATGGTAACGCACCTTAGATCAGGGGGTGGGGGTGGTAACGCACCTTAGATCAGGGGGTGGGGGATGGTAACGCACCTTAGATCAGGGGGTGGGGATGGTAACGCACCTTAGATCAGGGGGTGGGGGTGGTAACGCACCTTAGATCAGGGGGTGGGGGTGGTAACGCACCTTAGATCAGGGGCGGGGAGGTGGGGAAACGCACCTTAGATCAGGGGGCGGGGAAGTGAGGGTAACGCACCTTAGATCAGGGGGCGGGGGAGGTGGGGGTAACGCACCTTATATCTGGGGCGGGGGGGGGGGTATATTTGAAATGAAGTAGGTTTCAGTATAAAATATTATGCACAACAAACTCATCCCATGAGCCATGAGGTAGGATAACATTTCTCAGTGTGTACATTCAACGGTTTGAAAAAAAATAGAAGCATGTAGAGAAGCGTGATCGGTGCTGTTATGGTGACGTGTCTCTGTTTCAAATGGAGGAATATTGAAGCTTTTACATCTTTGAGAGAACACGTACTTGTTCTGACAGTGTTGTATGACCCCTACGGTTTTAGAGTTCTTTCGTGAAAACAGCAGTAGAATGTCTGGAAAAGTTATTGTGTAAGATATAAGTTGGATTTATTCGAAAATTTTAATGATATAATATAATATTTTTCTTGTAGTGGCACGGTTTCTGATGCTGGCAGGATCAGGTGGTATATGGACTTCCTGTGATGATTCAGATAGTCTCAGTCTGCATCTTTTTCAAGTTATCATTATTCACTTATACAATGGAGCAAGCACAATGATTCATTATCAACCAAGGATTTAATGTGTACAAGATATCATGATGATTCTGACATTACGATATCCTCATTGTCCTGAAAACTTCCTGCCCAGGCTGACTCATTTCATTACCCTATGCAAGAAACCTAACCTGTGTGGTGGAGAACATAGCTGGCTTTTTTTTCTAGTGTATAACTATCATATTGAAAAGGCTCTACTACACTTTTGGTGTATCCAGTTTTTCTAAACATAAAAGAAAATGTATCTACCAGGAATGTTACGCTACCAAAGCCCTCAGAGATCCAAGCCTCTGTACTCTTTATTTACTCTAGTTGATACCCACAGTGTTATTACATCTTGTAGGTTACGTCTGATAACGAGGTGACCAAGAATAGCCTTGAAACGTTCCAATATGTACGATTGTCACTAGTGGTGAGAGAAAGGGCTGCCACCTGAGTAGGCGCCGATTTTGTGTACTAGTAGTCTCAGCTGAGATGATTACCTCAGTACCCCTCGAAGGAAGTCCCTTGATGCTGGTGATAGGCTCTTGATCTCCTTCCAAGGGTCGAAACTGACTGCCTCCCATTTCCCAGGCACTTCTCTCAAAATATAATAATAATAATAATAATAATAATAATAATAATAATAATAATAATAATAATAATAATAATAATAATAACAATAATAATAATAATATGTAGATTTAATGCGAACCTAATACTATATAGTTCAGGAAATGGTTGAGGTAATCAGTCCTTGAAGACTGAAGGACTGGTAACATCGTCTTCCGCATATAATCTCTGTACTAGGTTACAAAAGCCGCTGATTGGTGAAACGCTTTTGAAATACAGATACCCAGGTGTTGCACAAGTGTAACCTATCAAGGATAGTTAGAGCTCAGGCATCCTGTGATATACAAGACTGTATCATCAGCAGCGCTAATCATGTAATGATTGGGTAGCATGGGCATAGTATTCAGCAAAGCGGTAATTATAATATTAAATAAAGTGGCACTGAGGACGACACTTCCCTGCTGGATGCCTGGCTGAGGCTTGAGTTACACCTGTATCTGTGAAATAGTACCAATGACTTTCTGTTGATATGATACTTTTGACTCAGTGGAGAGGCTCTCTAAATGCACGAACCTCGGCAAACGCATTTAACATGGCAACCTAGCAGGAAACGTTTGTCCTGTTTCCTGACGAACCTTACGTAACCTAACCTAAACTAACAGAATCAAAGGCAGTATTAAGATCAAGGAAGATGGCACTGGGATCAAGGAAGACAGCCTTGGGATCAAGGACGATGTAAAGTGTCCCGTAGCTCTGTTGGTAGTGCACTCAGCTTACACACTTGAGTGTCCATGGTTCGATTCTCGGAACGGGTGAAAACACTGGGTGTGTTTCCTTACACCTAGTGTCCGTGTTCACCTAGCAGTAAGTAGGTATCTTAGTGTTAACCGACTAGTGTGGGTCACACCCTATGGAGTGGTAGTATACCTTAGATAAGGCTGGGTTTTTAAATGAACTGAGATAGGATAACATCTCTTAGCCTGTAAAATTTATTAACAATATAAAAATAGAGTGAGCAAAGTAGTGGTGCATACTTCTTTGCACGAAATCAGCTTCGGAACAGAAAGGTTTTAATTCTGTCTAGAGGAGGCTTTAGGACCTAAGTGGTGAGGAACCTAAGTTAAGTGAAATGCGAGAGACCTAGCTAAGGTGTGAAAGAAGCTTGTGAAGCGGGACATGTGTATATGACTGAGTTATGAGGTGAATAATGTATCAGGTGAGTGAGGTATGAAATGAGTGAAGTATCAGGTGAATAATGTATCAGGTGAGTGAGGTATGAGATGAATGAAGTATCAGGTGATGCATTGAGTGAGGTATAAGATGTGTGAGGTATCAGGTGATGCATTGAGTGAGGTATGAGATGTGCGAGGTATCAGGTGATGCATTGAGTAAGGTATGAGATGAGTTAGGTATCAGGTGATACATTGAGTGAGGTATGAGATGTGTGAGGTATCAGGTGATACATTGAGTGAGGTATGAGATGAGTGAGGTATCAGGTGATACATTGAGTGAGGTATGAGATGAGTGATGTATCAGGTGATACATTGAGGTATGAAATGAGTAAAGTATCAGGTGATACATTGAGTGAGGTATCAGGTGATACATTGAGTGAGGTATGAGATGAGTGAAGTATCAGGTGATACATTGAGTGAGGTATCAGGTGATACATTGAGTGAGGTATCAGGTGATACATTGAGTGAGGTATCAGGTGATACATTGAGTGAGGTATCAGGTGATACATTGAGTGAGGTATCAGGTGATACATTGAGTGAGGTATCAGGTGATACATTGAGTGAGGTATGAGATGAGTGAGGTATGAGATGAGTGAAGTATCAGGTGATACATTGAGTGAGGTATGAGATGAGTGAGGTATCAGGTGGAACCCCAATAGAAATAAGTAACATTATACGACTTTATTGAGTTATCTACTTGCATTCCGTCAAGACTATTCTTAAAAACTATTTGCATGCTATGTACACAAATCCTTATTAAAAATTTACTTAATTATTACCCTCATCATTGGCCACAGGTGGCAACACGGTGGTACCGGGCACCTGAACTACTCTACGGTGCCCGCCACTACGACGAGGGGGTCGACCTGTGGGCTGTGGGATGTATCTTCGGTGAGATGATCAACAACTCTCCTATCTTCCCGGTAAGTCATGACAAGTGTGTGTAATTACCTTTTTGTAGCTACAGGGGCAAAGTTATGCTCGTGGTGTCCCGTCTTCAATACTTTGTTCATTTTATAATTCTGTTAAAATTCCATTGGTTGCAGCGCTTACTAATTCCTCTTTTAGGAACATTCGCTGCCTGACCACGGTAGAGTGCGGTTGTGCTCTGCACCCCTCTGCTGTTTGTAGGCGAGCTCCCTTGTCAGTTACCTGGCTGCAGTGGTGTGAAGTGGTGCTGTCACGCCTCTGTTAACAACATAGGTGCACTGTGATTGTCAAGATGGCGGTTAGTTTGAGACGCCGGATAAATACTGTAGGCATTGAGCTACTTAAAGGAACGATAACGCCTAGTTCTGCGCAAGTCCAAAGATCATCCGGGAGACATATGGCATACAAGATAGTGACTTGTATGGTGTAGCATTAAACGGAGGCCAAAGAATTTTCGTCAAACTGCTATCAGTTTAGTTTAGTTTAATATGTTTATTATGCACCCCATACCCATCCTGTGGGCGGTAGTCAAAAGATTACAGAGTACATAATGGGTCCAGGGACTGGGCCTCAAAGTTTTGATGGCTGAGCAAGTTACAGAGGTATTGAATTCACAATTTACAAAGGTAATGAACTCACAATTTACAAAGGTAACGAACTCCAGGTAGGTCTAGTCACAATCATGACAAGTTACAAAGGTATTTACAGATTACAGAGGTACATAATGGGTCCAGGGACTGGGCCCCAAAGTTTTGATGGCTGAACTAGGTACAAGGTAATGAACTCACAAGTTACAAAGGTAATGAATACTGTAAGAATGGTTACTTACGTTTATACATGGCTACAATCATGAACGAATTTTAGAGTAATGAGCAATTCACACTTCCACACCCGGTCACAACTGTAGTGAGTTATTGGTGCATATATTGATTGTTGAGTCACACACACACACACACACACACACACACACACACACACACACACACACATATACAAATTCATACACACACACACACACACACATAAACACACACACACACACACACACACACACACACACACACACACCACACACACACACACACACACACACACACACACACACACACACACACACACTCAGGAGGAGAGGTTTGTACCCAAGGGTAACAGGAATAATGAAAAAGCCAGGATGAGCCAATGGTTTACCCAAAGGTGCAGGGAGGTAAAAACCAAGTGTGCTAGGGAATGGAAGAAATATAGAAGGCAAAGGGCCCAGGAGAATAAGGAGAGCAGTCGTAGAGCCAGAAACGAATATGCACAGATAAGAAGGGAGGCCCAAAGACAATATGAAAATGACATAGCAGCGAAAGCCAAATCTGACCCGAAACTGTTGTACAGCCACATCAGGAGGAAAACAACAGTCAAGGACCAGGTAATCAAGCTAAGGAAGGAAGGAGGAGAGACAACAAGAAATGACCGTGAAGTATGTGAGGAACTCAACAAGAGATTCAAAGAAGTGTTCACAGAGGAGACAGAAGGGGCTCCAGAAAGACGGAGAGGTGGGGCACACCACCATGTGCTGGACACAGTGCACACAACCGAGGAAGAAGTGAAGAGGCTTCTGAGTGAGCTAGATACCTCAAAGGCAATGGGGCCAGATAACATCTCCCCATGGGTATTGAGAGAGGGAGCAGAGGCGCTATGTGTATCCCTAACAACAATATTCAATACATCTATCGAAACAGGGAGATTGCCTGAGGCATGGAAGACAGCAAATGTAGTCCCAATCTTTAAAAAGGAGACAGACATGAAGCATTAAACTACAGACCAGTGTCACTGACATGTATAGTATGCAAAATCATGGAGAAAATTATCAGGAGAAGAGTGGTGGAACACCTAGAAAGGAATGATCTCATCAACAGCAGCCAACATGGTTTCAGGGACGGGAAATCCTGTGTCACAACCTACTGGAGTTCTATGACATGGTGACAGCAGTAAGACAAGAGAGAGAGGGGTGGGTGGATTGCATATTCTTGAACTGCAAGAAGGCATTTGACACAGTTCCACACAAGAGATTGGTGCAAAAACTGGAGGACCAAGCAGGGATAACAGGGAAGGCACTACAATGGATCAGGGAATACTTGTCAGGAAGACAGCAGCGAGTCATGGTACGTGGCGAGGTGTCAGAGTGGGCACCTGTGACCAGCGGGGTCCCACAGGGGTCAGTCCTAGGACCAGTGCTGTTTCTGGTATTTGTGAACGACATGACGGAAGGAATAGACTCTGAGGTGTCCCTGTTTGCAGATGACGTGAAGTTGATGAGAAGAATTCACTCGATCGAAGCCCAGGCAGAACTACAAAGGGATCTGGACAGGCTGCAGACCTGGTCCAGCAATTGGCTCCTGGAGTTCAATCCCACCAAGTGCAAAGTCATGAAGATTGGGGAAGGGCAAAGAAGACCGCAGACGGAGTACAGTCTAGGGGGCCAGAGACTACAAACCTCACTCAAGGAAAAAGATCTTGGGATGAGTATAACACCAGGCACATCTCCTGAAGCGCACATCAATCAAATAACTGCTGCAGCATATGGGCGCCTAGCAAACCTCAGAACAGCATCCCGACATCTTAATAAGGAATCGTTCAGGACCCTGTACACCGTGTACGTTAGGCCCATATTGGAGTATGCGGCACCAGTTTGGAACCCACACCTAGCCAAGCACGTAAAGAAACTAGAGGAAGTGCAAAGGTTTGCAACAAGACTAGTCCCAGAGCTAAGAGGTATGTCCTACGAGGAGAGGTTAAGGGAAATCAACCTGACGACACTGGAGGACAGGAGAGATAGGGGGGACATGATAATGACATACAAAATACTGAGAGGAATTGACAAGGTGGACAAAGACAGGCTATCAGCTACGGTTTATGAATCGTTAGTCACCAGGTTTCAGGACGTAAGTCTTAGCGTCACACCAGCTGTCAATGTAAGAATGGTAGATGTTTCACGGCATTATACCTGGATCAAGTTACGCAACGTTCCCTTTGAGGCGGACGAGGCGGATATAAGGAAAGTTTTTGAGACGTATGGGACGGTGCATTATGCTCATTATGGTACGTGGGCGACAGGTGCCTATGCTGGTTTTCCAGAGGGTTCTTTCAACCTCAAAATGACTTTGAGGCACCCAATACGGTCCTACGTGTATCTCCAAGATTTCAGGGGCGCAGGTCATGGTAATGTACCCAGGACAACGACGTACGTGCCGCCTATGTTGGTGGTATGATCACATAGCGGCGACCCGTGACAAGCGAAGACGTGTGCCTGGAACCCGTGGTGGAAGTCGCAGCCCCCCGCTTCAAAGGTGGCAGGTGAGAAACAAACATCGGATGGAGGGCGTGGTGTTTGTGGAGCGAGATAGTGGATCGGGCACACAGGACGGGCGGTGAGTTGGGTCCCTCCCCCAGCTGCCTGATCAGGTATCGTCTCCTGTGGATAAGGAGGAGCGCAATTACAGGAGAAGGTTCTTGAGATTGAGGAGGAATTGGTGGAGGTGTTGAAGACTTTGGTTACCGCCAAAAGGGGGACGTTACATCTGAGCGTGGTGTCATAGGAGAGTCGTCGTTTCCAGAAAGTCGGAGACATGATAGTTTGGGACGTGATGGTGGTTTTGGAGTCGTTCGTTGAATCATTAAACCATTTCAGGTAGAGGTGGAGGTTCATCGAGAGGCATTTTCTGACCAAGAAATGTGTAACATGACGGTACGAAAAGAGGGCGGCTACGTCAGATTTGATGACGTCCTTATGCCTGCAAACGGCCTGGGAAACAGACTGAGGTGAAGTGCGAAGGTAGTGGTTAGGTGGTGGTAGCCATGATAGGAGGCACCGGAAGAAGGGGGGAGGAAGAGAGAGCACTCTGAAGGTGTCAAATTTAAAATTCAAGCTCTGGATTTGGGTAAAGAGTGATGAGAGGAAGCAGGGGTGGAACTTTAATAGGCCTTAGGTGAAATGTCTGTAAATGTTAAGGGGTTTATGTAGCGGTATGAAGAGAAATTGGTTTTTTAAATTTTCCCTGAATAAATCTAGAGTGGATGTTGTGTTCCTGCAGGAGCACAATTTTAAAGGGGTAGGGTGTTGGAGGTGGCAGGATTTGAGTAGTTACCCTGCCATCTCCCGTCTAAAAGGTGGTGTGGGAATTTTAATAAAGGAGACGAGCCCGTTTGTTTTGCAGAGAAGCGAGGGAGGAGGGGGAGGGAGGGTGTTGCGTGTGGATGGGTGGTGGATGGGAAGCGTTTTGTCTTTTTGTGAGTGTGTATGCGCCGGCAGAAAATAACATAAAGGTAAAGAATGATTTTGTGTGTGAGGATCTTGTGTTTTTCTTAAGTGCACTGCCAGAGGTGGCAATAGTTGGTGGGGACTGGAATAGTGTAATCAGGGTGGCTGATGTGGACCCAAAAGGGGCTGGATATATGTCTGTGGCTCTTAGGGATTTATTAAGGGATGTTAGGTTACGTGATGCCTTGGGGGGGGCGGTGTGGGAGACTGAATATACGTTTGTTAGGAGTGGATATGCTGCGAGACTAGATAGTGTACCTTTCTCAGGGAGTAGATAGAGTGTACCTTTCTCAGGGAGTAGATAGAGTGTACCTTTCTCAGGGAGTAGATAGAGTGTACCTTTCTCAGGGAGTGGATGTGAAATCTTTCAGTACTGTGGAGGCTACAATGTCAGATCATAGGGCAGTGGTGGTGGAGGTTGGGTGGGGGACGCTCGCGGACATATATAGAAGTTATTGGAAATTAAATATAAGTGTGTTAGGTGATGAGGAGGGGTTGGAGGGGTTTTCAGTCCTATGGAGGGAGCTTAGTGTGGAAGAACAGGGAGTGGATGACATTGTGACATGGTGGGATTGTGTTGCAAAAGAAAGGATTTATGTATTTATTTATTTATTTATTTATTTATTTATTTAGAAATTTAAGCATACATACAGAGGTACAAAAAAAATACAGGTAAGAGCAGCATGC